CCAACACACAGCTCCAGTCAAACAGTTCAGCACAAAGCACCGAGTAAACAGCTCTCTCAGCTGGATCTTCTCACACAGCATAAGGGACATTTCCACCCCTGATTGCCCACAGGATAGTCAGACTGCCTGTAGATTGGTGTGGATAGTATGGGATACAATTTGTATAAAAGCTGCTCCTTCACTCACCATCTCCTCACTTGGTTTTCAGTCCCTATAGGAAGTGAACCAGCTCTGGAAGAGGAAGAGGAGAGAATGGGCAGAGTGGGTGGGCTCTCTGATTGACGTCTCTCACAGTCAATCCAAATATTTCTGCAACAACATGAGTTTCCTGAAGCTTGGGAAACTGACCGGTGAAATGGAGGTGACTTTGTGCAGTAGATCGGGTGGGGATTTAAACTTGTCATTGCCCCATCTGAATAAAACCTCACTTATTGCAGCTGCTGTCTCAGTTCCCTTGCTAAGTCTTTGACAGGAATTTCCAGCGTGGGAATAGGCTTTCAAACTGACATCAGTGTGGGATGTTCAATACGTATGTTTTACAGCAGATTAGAAAGGAGAGGATCCACAGTATCCAAGGCATGATGTTGGGTGGGATCATCACATGCACAGGAGGGAGGGACGTTTGAGATGAAAGGAGAGGCACTGGGAGTGACTCTGTGCTCTGGGCATATCTGTATTTGGACAGTGACTAGCTCAAGGACTGACTCTGTGACTGGGGGAGTAACTGATCATTCACTCTGCAGCAGACATCTTTGCTATCTTCTTGACCTTGCCTGATGGCACACTCTTTGCATGAATTTCACCTTGTTCCTCACCTCACAACCAACAAACGTCCCCTTTCACAATTTGGAGGTGACATTACATTGAAGATCTTCGATGAGGAAAGGTGGGTTAGAGATGGGACCGTTGTTTACATGGCTTGAGGGCTCAAGGTTTAGGAAAGAGGAAAACAGCAGATTCAAAGGAGAAAGGAACATTTGAAGGCAGACAATCAGGAAGAGTGTTGGATTACATGCATTAACATGGGAGACTCACACCATTATCAGGATCAAGACTCATCTGCCTCAGTCTCTGACTCTTCTGTACTCACCTTAATGTCATCAGATGATGCATTTCGGAGCAGGACAAGGGAAAATGAGGGAAGTCTTCCAGACACAGTGCATCTTATAGTGGGAGACTGCAGTGCAGTTCAGTGACATTGAGGAAAAACCAGGATTATTAGATGGCTGCTGGTTATTCTGGAGTGTGGCTGTACATGAGCCTATGGGATTTAGGATGATTGGGTTTTTTGGTTGATGTGAGGAACCTCTGTCAGTGTCAAAGTCATAGGCTGTTGCTCAATCCTGCAGTCTAACTACTTTTCTCCAACAGTGTCACTTCTCCTGACGCCAGGGGTTTTACCATCTTCACAGCTTCTGGATCCCAGACACAAAAACAATGCTGACACCTGAGGCTCGAACTAGTTACCACTTTAAATCAAATCAAACTTTCAGGCTGCCTGTTTATAGCATCCTTTGGACTTAACTGTTTCAAAACTGAATCTAAAATAACAGAATATTAGAGGTTGTTGTCAGTAGTGGCTTAGTTAGCACTTGTCTCTGAGGTAGGAAGTTGTGGGTTTTTTGGCTCCTTCCAGAGACTTGAGCAATGAGGCTGCCATACAGTCATACATGTTGCTACTTTTGGGAACATATGATTTAGAAAATCAATTACTGACAACCCTCACTTCATTGGCTCTAAGATGCCTTTTGATGATGTACCAAGGTTGTGAAAGCTGATATATTAATACAAGTTTTCTTTTCTTAGAGTTATAGATGCTTCATGAGAAATGTAAATTATAAACCCCTGGATGATTAAAGCTCACAGTGACATTGACCAATATAACATGTACAGCAGACTTACTGTAGGATCATGAGTGCTTCAGTGGATAGGAATACACCAGGCTGAGAAATGTGGTCCACTTGGCTGAAGCTAAACAGTGAATTTATTGTAAGACATACAACTATACAGGAGATTGATGAAGCGACAAACAACAAGACAACATTCAGCGTAAATCAAACTACAAATCATAAAATAACAATGCATTTGAAAATGACTCAAGATCTTTCCCAGAAGATGAAATGAAGTTTGTAAGACTATAAGGTGAACACGTCAGTTATTACTTTGAAGTGTGACGGGCTCAGGAAATTCAGGTATGTAGAGACTCACACCCACTCCCTCCCATACTGAGGATAATAGTGCTCCCAGACAGGAGTATCCAAACATTCCCCATGATATTGGTCAAACAGCCATCACCTAAAGAGGTTCTGTTTATAATTCACGTCACCAACTAAAGCTGGGTCTGATTCTACCTCATAACCACCCCTGAGAGCTGGCTCACTTTACAAGGATGGGGCCATAGCATTAAAATTGGAGTTGGGCTGTTCAGGGGTGAGTTTAGGAAGTGTCAGGAAGGCAGGAAGTGCAGGACCCCTGAGCGTATCTCACTCTGTAACCAGTACAGAGCTCTCAATCCTGATGAAAGTGATGGGGAATCTGGGGAATCCATGGTACAACAGCTAGCTCAGCTGTACAGGGAGGTACACTGAAAACTAGAACAGCAAGATAGGAGGCTTGATAGTTCTGGGAACAAATAAATGTTTCTGTGACAGGAGGCATGAATCCATGGTGATATGTTACCTCTCTGGTGCCAGGGTCAAGGATCTCACTGAACAATTGTAAGTGACATTCAGGCTATGTTCAGGGGACAGAGATAATTTTATCAGAAGGTTTAGGTGTAGCGATGGAAAAGGACAAGGAACAATTCAGAACATAAATAATTAACTGGAGGAAAACTAACTACAAAGAAATACTTACAGATTTGACCATATAAATTTTAATATAAGATTGTCAGGAGAAATGGTAACTGAACAATTTTTAAAGAGGAGTTGGTTCAGGTAAAGTCAGGATATAGAGGGTAGAAATTGTGGTGATATTGGCCATAATTTTTCAGTCTTTCTTAGATTCAGAAGTGGTGCCAAAGAACTGCAGCATTGTACATATTACACCCTCTTCAAATTCACACATGCAAACATAAACCCATCAACCTCCAGTCAAGTTAATGAGTTTAACATTGGTGATTTGGAAGCTTCTAGAGAAATCAATTCAGGACAAAATGAAATCACTTGGACAAATGCAGATTAATGAAAGGAAACCAGCACAAATATGTTCAGAGCAAATTGTATAGAACTCCCTTACTTGAGTTTGATAAAGTGCAAGACAACAGATTTATCAGCAAAGTTAGAGGTTATAGAATAAAATAAAAGCAAATGAATACAAAACGGGCTGAGTGATGGAAAACAGAGGAGTGGTTAATAGATGTTTCCTGGACTGGAGAATGGTTTATTGCTGCATTTCCCAGGGGTCAGTTAGGACCCCTGCTCTTCCTAATATAAATGAATGAGCTAGACCTTGGTGTACACGCCAAAAATTCAACATTTGTGATTAATATAAAATTTGGGAGATGATGTGAACTGTGAGGAAGACAGTGACTGTTGCCACTGATGGACAAGTATCAAATGAAATTTAATGCAGAGAAGTATGAAGTGATTTATTTTGGTTGAAGGAGCTCAGAGAGATAATATAAAGGCATAATTCTAAAAGAGGGGCTGGAGCAGAGGAACCTGGGTTTATCTGGGCAAAAATCATTGAAGCTGTTTGAGAGAGTGGTTAATAAAACATACAGTATCCTGGACTTTATCAACATGGACTTTGAGTACAAAGGCAAGGAGTTATATGTTCTAGCTGTGTAAAATACTGCTTCAGCCTCCACTGGGGTACTGCAACCAGTTTGGGCACGATAGTTTAGGAAGGATGTGAAGATATTAGAGAGGGTGCAGAGAAGATTGAAGGGAATTCAGTTGCAGGGATGAGGACATAGATGGATTGAGAAATTGGAACTGTTTTCCTTGGAGAAGGTTAAGAGGAGATTTGAAAAATGTTTTAAATATCATGGAAGATTTGGACAGAACAGACACTCCTAAAAGAGACAGTGTTTTGGAATGACAGATCCCCTGTGTGAGCACTAGAGGATAGACTACCCCAGACAGCTCTCAGTGCAATGGAAGTAGATGACCCAACTACAAGTTCATATGGAGACATCAGTATATCGTGAGAGAGGACGAGGGGGCCAAAACAATCCCAACACATCACACTGGTAGAGTTTGTGTCTGTGTGACTGCAGAGGCTCTGGCACACAGGTTCTCCCAAACTAGGGTCAGGTCATGAGTTGGAAATTTGGGATTGCATTCTCTGAGGTAGCAATGGCCAGATCTCCCTCCATTCTCTCCTAGGTCCTGTTTCAACATGCTAATCCCCCATTCCCCTGACCGCTCACTGAGAGATTGGTGCAATTTTCAAGCCCCAAAAAGGGTTACACTGGTAAAATCTTTGAAAAGCACTGCTGTGAGAGATTCAACAATTGTGTGAAGTCTTTATTGCATAACTCACTCAAATAAAAAATTATCCCTCATCTCTCACCAATGTTGTGCTGTTGATGTTTTAGAAGATTGGAAGTTTGGTGAAAGAATTTTCATAAATATCACAGCTCAAGTGTTACTCCCCTGTGTGAATCCTCTGATGTCGCAGGAGGTATGAGGACCTCGAGAAAGACTTGTCACACACCTCACATGGGAACTGCTTCTCCCCCGTGTGAATACGACGATGATCCACAAGTGTCGATAACTGTCTGAAGGCTCGGTCACAGAGGTCACATTTAAAGGGTTTCTCGCCTGTGTGAATCCTCTGGTGCCTCAGGAGATCAGAGGACTGGATGAAAGACATTTTACAAACACCACATTGGAAGGGTTTCTCTCCAGTGTGAATCATCTGGTGTATCAGGAGGCTCGAAGACCTCACAAAAGCTTTACCACAAACCTCGCACTTGAAGGGTTTCTCCCCTGTGTGGATTTTCTGATGGACCAGGAGACTCCCCAACTGTGAAAAGGATTTATCACACACCTCACACTTGACTGGTTTCTCCCCTGTATGAATACGTTGGTGTGCACGGAGTGTCGATAACTGTGCAAATGATTTATCGCACACTTCGCATGTGAATGGTTTCTCTCCTGTGTGAACACGTTGGTGTACACGGAGCGATGACGAGTCCAAGAATGATTTGTTGCACACATCACATTTGAATGGTTTCTCTCCAGTGTGAATGCGTTGGTGTTCACGGAGAGTGGATGAATGTGAGAATGATTTGTTACACACGTTGCACTCAAATGGTCTCTCCCCTGTGTGAATGCGCCGGTGTGTGCGAAGGGTTGATAACTGTGCAAAGGATTGGTCACACACCTCACATGTGAATGGTTTCTCTCCTGTGTGTGTGCGTCGGTGCCTGTGGAGGTTCCACGATTTCGAGAATGATTTTTCACACAACTCACACCTGAACAGCTTCTCATCTCCTTCAATGTGTTGGTGATTCATGAGCGTTGATGACTGTGTGCAAACTTGATCATGTTCCTCACACTCAATTAGTTTCTCGTTCATGTCGTTGTGCAGTTGTTCCTTGGATGATAGTTAGGATCTATCAGTGCTGTGCACCCTCTCCGTATTCTCTGGTGTTCTACAGTGCAATCCTTCTGTAAAACAGGAAAAGGAAACATGATTTTCACCAGCTTCTGCTCCTTCTTTGCTGAAGAGGCTGACTCCTTAGTTAGAGACTGTTCCACAGTGAGTGCCAGTCTGCTATTTCCTTGTGTGAGGAAATCAGATGCAAGTCCTTTCTTTTTCCTCACTTCACTATCACACACCCTCTGTTTCCAGTAGGGATACTGGATAGTGATCAGGAGCAGACAATGTGGCTACTTTCTTTCTTCCACTCAGACCCATTTCCCAGGTACTGTGAAGGCAATGGGAGGGTAAAATGTGTTTTCAATTCACTATGATTTTGAGTCCATCTGGTGAAGACCAATTTTACCCTTGGAGCAAGTATTTAGTGTTAAAAAGATTATGGAGAAATGTTAATTCAATGGAGATTTTGAAATTTCTTCCCTCGTTTTACAAAATGATTTGAAGAAAACTCACTGCGAAGGAGGGGCTTGAAGATGAGGAAAATATTGCTTCAGTGCAGCTTGGTTATCCTGGGAAATTAGATACACTGCACTCATTCAGACTGTACATCCCAAATTCAGTCATCAGCCACAACATCAGGCAAAACTGTCAAATCCGAATTCAAGACTTCAGGTAAAATCTTTAAAGAATATTTTAAAAGTTTCTTCGATAAATGTATCCCTAATTATAGCAACTGAATTGTTACAGAGATTACAGGGGCAAAGTCATGGAGGAACTAGGAAGAAAACTTTAAAACGGAGGTGCTGCTTGACCAGGAGCCAATGTAGATTGGCGAGCACAGGGATGATTGGATAATGGGTCTTGGTGTCAGTTAGGACCTCATCAGCAGAGTTGTGGAGGTGCTCAGGTTTACAGAATAAGATATGAAAGTAGCCAGGAGAGCATTGGAATAATTCAGTCTAAAGCCTATAAAGGTATGGATGAGGGCTGCTGCAGCAGATGAGCTGAGGCAGAGTGTCACTGGTCCCTCCTGCAAGTGATTCTTGTCCCTCTCCTGTGCACTGCATCCCTGTTCCTGACAACAGTGTGAAATGACAGTGAAAGCCAAGGATGGTAATGAAGAACCCTTTGCAGGATCAGACACAAACACCAAATAATTCAACACAAAGGGAGTGTGGCAGAGCCACAAGTCAGAGGAGCCGCCTTTCAGATGAGATCTCAAACCAGGGCCTTCTGCTCTCTCCTGACGTGGGTGTAAAAGACCCTTTGCATTATTTTATAGAAGAATCGGACGTTACCCCTGGTGTTAATCTCTCAATCAACCAGTAAAGAATATTTTCTGGTCATTATCAAATTGCTGAATGTGGCAGCTCATTGTATACATATTGGCTGTCACATTTTCTGCATTGAAACAATCAGTACACTTCAAATGTACTTCACTGGCTGTAACATGCTTTTGGATCTGGTGGTCGTGAAAGGCTTTATATAACTGCAAGTCTTTGTTTTCTTCTCTGAAGAGGTTACAGAGATACCATGGTCTGAAATCTTGGAGTGCTTTGAAAAGACACAGAGTGAACTGATTATTCAGTCTGCAGAATACCAGTTCCCGACGCACACACTACACACACACACACCCAGAGAACTCAGCAATAGGAAATCCGAAAGAATCCTCAGACCCTCAGCACCTCCCAGATAATTACACCTCACCTTCTCATAGTCAGGAACGAGACATCCACAAAACTCAGCCTGGAAATCAGAAGGGAAATGCGTCCAACAAGCAAATTGAATATCCAACACACAGCACTGAGTAAACAGCTCTCTCAGCTGGATCTTCTCACACAGCATAAGGGACATTTCCACCCCTGATTGCCCACAGGATAGTCAAACTGCCTGAAGATTGGTGTGGATATTATGGGATACAATTTGTATAAAAGCTGCTCCTTCACTCACCATCTCCTCACTTGGTTTTCAGTCCCCATGGGAAGTGAACCAGCTCTGGAAGAGGAAGAGGAGAGAATGGGCAGAGTGGGTGGGCTCTCTGACGTCTCTCACAGTCAATCCAAATATTTCTGCAGCAACATGAGTTTCCGGAAGCTTGGGAAACTGACCGGTGAAATGGAGGGTCTAGACCCGAAACGTCAGCTTTCCTGCTTGGCCTGCTGTGTTCATCCAGCTCTACACCTTGTTATCGGTGAAATGGAAGTGCCTTCATCATAGAATCAGTGTGGAAGTAGGCCATTCGGCCATCAGGACAACGCTGATCCTCCGCAGAGCATCACACATGACACACCCTTTCACCCTGCATTTCTCATGGCCAAGCCAACTAACCTGCACACCTTTGGACTGTGGGAGGAAACCAGAGCATCCGGAAGAAACCCTCGCAGACAGGAGGAGAATGTGCAAACTCCACACAGACAATCACCAGAGGCTGGAATCGAACCTGGGTCTCTGGCACTGTGAGGCAGCAATGCTAACCACTGAGCCACCGTGCTGCCCCTTTGAGCAGCAGATCAGGTGGAGATTTAAACTTGTCATTGTCCCATCTGAATAAAACCTCACTTATTGCAGCTGCTGTCTCAGTTCCCCTGGTAAATGTTTGACAGAGATTTCTAGTCTGGAAATAGAATTCTTCATCCTTGGAGGCTTTCAAACTGACATCAGTGAGGGATGCATACTGTCAGAGGTGTCTGACAGCATATCACAAAAGGAAGACAAACAGCATCCAAGGCATTGGTGATGTGTAGTGTGGGATCAGCACATGTACAGGAGGGAGGGGACTCAGGTGAGACTGCCTGGAGACTTTGTATAAGTTATAGAAAAATGACTGTGGTCACAAAGACAGATTCATACCCAACTGTGTGACTGTAAGACTGCATCAGTAGAGTTGGTAGTGCCTCATTCCTTTTGAAGATTGATCCATTGAATGGGTACTGGCAAATGCCATTGATATTAAGGGGGAAAGAAATTTCTGATGTTGTGACATCAAATGGGTTACACCATTGTCCAGTAATGCCATTTGTATTAAAGAATGACCCAGCCACATCCCAGGGCATATGACTCAAGTCGTAACTGATGTTCATAACTGCGTAATGTATTTAAATGATGCTGCGGCTTATCCTGACACTTGAGAATGTAAAATGAGTCAATGATCTGTTTAAGCAATTACAGTTGTCTGGTTTGGTGATAAATCTAACAAAACATTAAGTTGCAAAAGTAAGACAGACTTACTTGGGACATGTGCTTGGTCAAGGACAGATGTTGCCAAGGCCAGTGAAAATGAACGTTTTAATAGAATTCCTTGTTCCTAAATAAGAAATCAGAATGTTTTAGGAATGTGTGAATTTTACTGGAAATTTGTGGTAATTTCAGTATGATAGCTATACAGCTAACACATTTGTTAAAGAAACAAGCAAAAGAGATATGGTCAGCAGAATGCCAAGCAGCATTTGAGAAACTAAAGATATCTTAATACATGAACCAGTGTTGGCCACCCCTGATTTTTCTAGACCTTATGTAATCGCAGATGATGCTAGTGATTTGTGGGTGAGTGCAGTCTTGTTACAGTATGATGAGTTAGGAACAGACAGGCCAATGGAATATTTCTATAAGAAACTAAGCCAGCATCAGAAGTATTACTCTATCATGAACAAAGAGATTTTGGGATTGTTGTTAGCTTTTCAGCACTTTGACGTCTATATTTGACATGGAAACAAGGAATCGCTGTTGCAAAGTTGGGTAGGGTACTTATGGATTGGGAGGCAGGATGTTTGTAAAATGCTAGGGGGTAAAGCATTGTGTGGTCCCTTTTAAAGATCATGTGCTTTTTCTGCGCTTAGAGATTTAAAATGGATGCATTTGTATCGAAAGGCCGTACTGTTAGCAGGCCAAGCAGCAGTTTTTTTTACAAAGACAACAGGCTTTTGAATTTAGCCAATCAATTTGAACCAGGTACTTAGATACCAAAAACCTATTAAATTTGACTGATAGTTTTGACAACATTGGACCAATCCTATTGTAAGAAATAGTGATATGTCATCAAGGGTATAAAAAGAAGGGGGCAGTTGGACAAAGAACCAAGAGCTAGTTACCATCTGCCAAATCTAACGGCCCTCAGCTCTCAAGAATTGATGGCTGTCACAGCCTCCTCTATGTCTTAGAGAAAACACCGTCTATACAACAACGGTACCAATGGAACAACTAGTTAATATTCCTGACAGAAGAATTAATGGAGAAGGCATTTCTGACAAGAGAAAGCACAGAACGTTCTGGAAGACATGTAATCTGGCTGTAATTTCAAGAGACTAAATTCTTTTTTTATATATAAGTGGGACTTGTATTTACTGGAACAGCATACCATTAGAATCTTACCTTATTCTGGAATAGTTAGTAGTTAGAAGGTATTTATTTAGTTTGTTAATAGTTTAGTTAATTTGTTCACTGTTAGAGTTAGATAAATAAATTGTTACTTGTTGATTGTAAAGTAAATGTCAGGAATTATTTTATTTAACCACTAGAAGTTGCTGAAAGGCAGGCTATGCCACTTTTCACACTCCTTTTACAGATTATAGGGTGAGGTGCTCCTCTTTGGGTGTTTCAGTGTTAGTTCTCAGAGGGAGGAGGGTCAACCTCCGCTTTATAACAATCACAAATTTATACTGATCATAATCCATTTGCCTTCATTGTACAGTTTAAAAATGGAATACATGACTTTCTGGATTGGAGCCTTTCACTGAAAATATTTACTTCAAAAATTGTTCTTATTAATGGGAAAGATGCAGATACATTATCCCAAATGTAAAATTTTAGAACAAGTTAAAATTTAAGAAATCCTAAGACTGCCTAAGTTTGTATAAAGGGGAGAAGAAGAATGAATGTATATAAGTCTTATCTTGTTGTTGTATATTATATATTTATAATTAAACACTTGTTTTTTAAAAAAAAGCATTTAATTTCCTTAAAAACAGAAGTACTTTGAAACCATGTCTTTTTATATTTCTATGAAACTATAGACTGGAATGAGAAACAGGACTATTTTACGGGATAGCTATATAATTTCACAGCAAAGAATTTGAAACCTATTGAGAATTGTTTTGAGACTGTGGGTTCCTGCAATGTGCAGACAATCGGGAGCCAAGTTTTTTATCCAACTGAGCAGGTTGGAACTGGAAACAAGTTACAGAAACAAAGAGATAAAGACACAGAACAGTGTATTGTCGTTCTCCCCAGCAGAAGCTGCCTGTTCTCTGCACTGAAGAAAAACTCCGTTTGAACTTGGAAAAGAAAATTACTTTTCCAGCAGCAGTAGCTGGGAGCTGTGACTTTTGAATTGATAACCAGAAATGTATTCCAAATGAATCAGTCACTCTGCACTTCTTACAAACCAGTGGTTGTTTCCACAGAAAGACAACTGTACACCAAGGGCCTGGCGAGCTGAAGTAGAATCACCTTAACATCAAAAGCAGGAAGCACAGACCACCAAATTGGTTTTCCAGTTTTTTCTACCTCCTCCAATTATCTATTTTCCCTATTTGCTTGTCTGTGTGTAAAGGGGGAGTTCATAAAAGGATTAGAGTTTCAGTTAGTCATGTTATATGCCAATGGTTTATATCTGTTTACTTGTAGCTACAGTCTAATTACTTATAATAAATAATAATTCTTGTTGAGCACAGAAATCTGGTCCATGCTTTCGATGAAACTTGGTCTGAAAGACAGGGAAATTAGGATACAGTGCGTATCTTAAAAAATTTAAAAATGTTTGGTACAACTCTGGGAATAGCAGGTCTCAATTTACAGTGCACTACCACAGTGGATCATAACAATGGGAATAGCATTGCTTTCAATCTGACAACATCAGTGTGAGGAGTGTAGTCTCAGAAGTATTTCACAGCTGATTGGAAGAGGAAGGCCCACAGCATCCAAGGTAGTGAGGCATGTGAGGAACACTCCACAGGCGCAAAATGATCTCCTGAAACACAAGTCCTTCTGTTGTACAATGGTTAATTCAAGATCGCTAAATGGAGGAGAAACCTTTCAAGCATGAGGTGTGTAAGCAAACACTCAGTCATAGTTGCTCCTTAAGCAGATAAATCCACACCAGGTAGAAGTCATTTAAGTGTGAGGTGTGTGACCAAGCCTTATTGAAATGATAGCAGCAGATTTAAAGGACAGAGACACGACATCTAAAGAACAATAAGGGCAAACATGTATTAACCCAGGTCACTCACGTACCTGGATCACGATGAAGATTCGTCTGCCTCAGTCTCTCAAACGTTTTTGTATTACTGATCTAATGTTATCAGATGGCATGTTTGGGAGCAGGATCTGGGAGATAGTTTTTTTGGGGTGGGTTTTGGGAGGAGACAACTCTCTGGAAAATTTGCGATAGGAGGGTGACCTGCAGCCTTGAAAGGATTGTAATATGGACGATTAGACAGTAGCATCTGTGACTGGAGGAGACAGAGCAGCAACAGTGGGAGAGGCAGAATGTGTGATTGCAGGTGTTGCAAGGGCTGGAGAAACAGAATCTGAGATTGGAGGCATAATGAGGGTGGGAGAAACAGAATCTGAGATTGGAGGAGCAATGAGGGTGGGAGAAACAGAATCTGAGATTGGAGGTGCAATGAGGGTGGGAGAAACAGAATCTGAGATTGGAG